AGATGACACCACCACTGTGTTGGACAAGGAATGGGTGTTTGGGTGCTTTTGAATTTTAAAAAACTTTCAGTTTTCATTGCTAAAATGAAAACATCGATAGAATCCACATAAACAAAAGATCACTGGGGTCTTCAATCACTGAAACATATAAAGGGGTCGTCTTGAGACCACAAAGTTTGAGAAGGACTACATTCTCGACGCTGTCTTTCTCGTGTGTGTGTGTGCATGTGTGTGCGTGGAGGCACGTACATCTACAGCAGAACCTTGAAAGCAATAAGGGGAAATAATAAGACAAGCTCGAAAACAATGGGAGGGGAGAAAGCCTATCCGTGGGCTTGCTTTGGCGGAGCTGTTTTTGGCTTTGATCCCCCTTTCCTCTTATTCCCCTGGCAGCCGAATTTAAACAAGATTTGCAGCTGCCTGCATGCCATTAGCCTTGGCTGCCACCAAACTAATGAAAACAATTAATCAGCGTGCTTCACGGAAAAAAACTCTTCAGATTGGTAATAACACTTAAGAAGGAACCACTGGCAACATCCTATGAAGTTGTATTTAAATTTAAGAGAAAGACATTTCATTTAGAATTTGCTCAATGAAGACGTGCTGGGAAACAGGGCCCTTTGCCGGGGAACCAGCTGCCTTTCCCAGTGTTGCTGCAAAGAGCTGCTGAGTGGGGCCGAAAGAAAAGGTGTGGGATCAGAACGTGGCAGGTCCAAGGCACGGTTGTCCGGTTGCCCGATGGCAACGTGGTGATGGGGACAGAAAGAAAAACAGGGAAAGACAGGATCCACGGGATGGCAAAAGAGGAAGGTGCATTCAACCCCATCCTTCCTCATTCCCAGTCATAAAAATTTGCCTCTGAGTTTATTTCCCACCGAGATAATGGAATTGACAGAGCAGTTTTCAGTTTGGCTAACCCACGAGTAGGTCCCTCAGCTAGACACAGATAACAAGCCCAGCCGGGGGTAGCAGGCCATCATGCCAGCAAGGTGGAACACACCGGCCTCTGAAACAGGGGAGAGGCGATACCCGCCACCCTTCAATCACAGTACCTGTCCTCCGGCAATGCGGATCCAGCGAGTTTGGCCACCGTAGGGAATAGGTCCATGTTGCTTGTTGGCTCGTCGATCTCTTGTCCAGCTGGTATCACCCCAGGCCATCGAAGAATACCTGGAACCCGGATTCCTCCTTCCCAGTTGTTGGCTTTTCCTCCTAAAGCACCACGACAGAGGAAACAAAGAGATCACAGTCTTGTCAACTCTCACATTGATGTAGTCTTCAATGCTCAACTTGGGGCGGTCAATTTGGAAGAGCCAAGTGCTCTAATGACATGGATTCAATGTGTATTTCACGAGCAATATGGTATGTGTTGCAGTGAAAAGCAATAATATATATGACACGGTCACCACCATGCATGACATGCTCAGCACTATATGGTGGGCACAAGAATGACTTTATAATCGGGAGACTCAAATTTCAAAATGACAGAAACCCAAGTCAATGACTCTGGAGCAGGGAATTCAAATCCATTTCTACTTTTTTATCAGCTGTGTCCGGCAAAATAATTCCAAGTACCTCCCGCCCCCAAAGTGTCCATGTCCAAATTCCCCGAGCCTGGACTTAAGGTACCTTACATGGCAAAAGGGACTTTGAAGGTGGGATTAAGGATTTTGAGATGAGGAGGTTATTCTGGATTATCTGAGTGGGTCCAATGTGATCACAGCGTCCTTATAACGGATAGAGGGAGGCAGGAAAATCGGAGTCAAAGAAGCAGGGTTTGCAATCATAGAGAGAGACTGGAAGACGCTATGCTGTTGGCTTTGAACATAAAGAAGGGCCCCCAAGCCAGGGAAACCAGACAGCCTCTAGAAGCCGGACAAGGTAACAGAGCCTCCCCTAGAGCCTCCAAAAAGGAACACAGCTCTGCCAACACCTTGCTTTTAGCCCATTTTGGACTTCTGACCTCCAGAACTATGAGACAATAAATTCATGTTATTCTGAGCCACCAAATTTGTGGTCCACTGTCACAGCAGCCATAGGAAAGAAATACACCAGCCCCGTGCCCTTTGGCAAACAGCTTCACCCTTCCAAGCCTCACATCCCTGCAACGTTTGGTGCGAGTGTTACATGAAACAATTATCCCAAGAGCCGAGCTTAGCACCTGCACAAGAGGAAGGAAACAAAAAATGGACATCATCACCATCACTATTATTTTATTACCGGGGAGTTCTTATGGCTTTGTTGAGGGAACAAGCTTTGTGCCTATGAGGCAATTAGAATATAATTAAATACAGCATGAAATAGGTACTGGGAGAGGCTGGACGGGTGAGCTCGGAGTGGATCAGAACATCAGCAGATAACATCAGAAGAAGTTGCTGACACCTCCTACTGGGGAATGGAGACTGGGAATGAGCCCACATAGGGCTCAGAGAGGCCAGGGCTGGTGGCACATGGACGCATGGATAAACACACGCACTGTCTCCAGGGCAGTTCCCGTGACCTCGCAACAGGGTGCACATATTGCTGAGTATTATCGAGCAACTGAAAGTCAGGCTGGGGAAAAGGGAACGGGGCTGAATTCCAACTACTCTAACAAACAGCCCATTTTAAACAACATCACATAGAAGAGTTAAACGAAAATGGAGAGATACGAAAAAGCAGCACACTGATTCACAGCATGGATATGATGCATGATACACACTGGACATAAAGACCATTTACATTTAAAAAGCGAATTGCTGGGCCGGCCCGGTGGCGCACTGCTATAGTGCGCCGCTTGGGAAGCGCGGCGGCGCTCCCGCCCGAGGGTTCGGATCCCACATACGGACCGGTTCCCGCTCACTGGCTGAGCGAGGCGCGGGAGCAACACCGAGGGTTGCGATCCCGTTGCCGGTCCCCGGTCCGGTACGGGGGCGACACTGAGGGTTGCGATCCGTTGCCGGACACGGAAAAAGACAAAAAAGACAAAAAAAAAAAAAGCGAATTGCTGGAGACGGAGGGATCTGGATGCACCCTTTCATTTCTCAGCGTTGCAGAGTGTACAGTGAATTCCTCTCATCGGCAAGC